TGGAATCATGGGAAATGTAATTTGGTGAAGCACCAGCACTGTTTGGCAAAGAAGGCTAAAAACCTTGTCAAAATACAAGTCCAGTGATTCTATAGGACTGGGCCATGGAAGTTGAAGTGCTGTCAAACTGCATTAACTCTAAATGATATTGCTACAAAGTGAACATGTTTAAGATTGAGGAGACAGTATTTGCTATCAACCTGTCCACTGTGCAACAGCGATGTTAAATTTAAGTCACTTTCAGAGTGTAGCTACAGAAGCCGCCTGGAAATAGAATTCAGAGAGCAAGCCCCTTTACAACTCATAAATGGAAACTCCACTAATCCATAACTGAAACAAGAGCAGCAACGGCTCTCAACTTATTTTATAGGTCAACTGTAATTCATTCAGGCTGCAGCCCACAAAGCAGTCGGTCTAACTAAGACCACAAATCCCACTAGCATTTGTTTATTTACTTATTTTATTTTTATCCTGCCTCCCTCCTGATATAGGGATCTAAGGTAGCTGATTTTTTTTCCATGTAAGGATTGACTTGAGTCACTTCTGGTGTGAGAGAATTGGCCATCTGCAAGGACTTTGCTCAGGGGATGCCCAGATGTTTTACTATCCTGCAAGAGGCTTCTCTCATGTCGCCACATGGGAAGCTGGAGCTGACAGATGGGAGCTCACCCCATCTCACAAATTTGATCCGCTGACCTTTCGGTCAGCAGTCCTGCCAGTACAAGCATTTAAACCATTGCACCACTGGGGCTCCAAGGTAGCTGATGATGACCATACCACAATGTATAACAATGTAAATACTCTAAAATATAATTTGTTTTTAAAATTCTATAATTAAAATCATTACACATTAAAATCTTAATATGCATTAAAATGGAGATATATAATTGGCCAATTGTGAAATTATCTTTTGCCGGGCTACTACAACCTAATACATCAAGTAATATTAGAGGTCATATTTGGTAATTTTGAACAGCCCATTCCCACACTTTCTTTTTTCTTGAAGTAAAAAAGGGGACACTCTTGGGTTCCCCTAAAGAGCTCATACTGTAAATTTAATCTGAGCAGAAGGAAGGCAACTTACAAAAGAAAAGACAACTACTTGGGTTCACATTCAGGAGGTTTTCTTTTTTTTCTCTTAACACCTGTAACCACTGAATTAACTAAACCACAAATTTCACAGTCAACTTTTAAAGGCAAAATGATTTTAACTCATGGCAAAACAAAAACAAAACAGGTTAAGCATCACATATCCAGAATACTCCAAAAGTCATAACTTCAATGTACACAAACTTACATGCAGAAAATTATATAAACTATTGTGTACAAAACTACCCTCAGGATATGTGCATAAACTGTCAATGAAACTAAAAGAAATTTCAAGTTTAGGCTTGGATTCCACTTCCAACATATTGCATGATGTATCTATAACAATACATGGATTCCCAAATCCAAAACACTTCTGGTCCCGAAAACTTTGGAAAAGGGAGACTCAGTCTGTACAATACTGCCAGATTCAGTTACAGACATTTGGGGTTTGCTTTAATACAAATATGAACCCTTAGATATGGGTCTACTCAGAAGGAAGAGCATGCTCAGAGGGAAGAGATATGGGTCTACTCAGAGGGAAGAGCACAGCATTCAAGGGATCTGAGGGCCCTTCCATACAGCCCTATATCCCAGAATATCAAGGCAGGAAATCCCACATTATCTGAGAGTGGATTCAGATAACCCAGTTCAAAGCAGATATTGTGGGATTTTCTGCTTTGATAATCTGGGCTATAGGGCTGTGTGGAAGAGCCTTGAGAGACTCAAAACCTCCCAAAATGCGACACGAAGTCCCTGATGGAGAGAGGCAATAGCCTCGGTACACAACACTGGTTCAGGTTGCCTCAACCCCTATGGAGTCTACGTGCAGAGCAACACCACCAGCCTCCTCCTTGATTTGTTTAACAGCCACAGAACAAATCAATTCCCATCTCACACCCTCACTGCTGTAGAATAGAAGAGAACCAAATCCGGTTTCTCCCAGTCTGCCGTGTTCTCATTGAAAAAGGCAAGAAGGAAATCTCTCCTTGGTCACCTTCACCAGGGGCTTTCCAAAAGTGACAACAGAGGAAGCAAAGGGGGAATATCTGTGGTTGCACATCAAATCCACACTGTTAAATTAATGCAGCCTGACCCCACTTTAACTGCCATAGCTCAATGTTGTGGAATTCTGGGGTAAGTAGTTTTGTGAGGCGGCATCAGCGTTCTTTAGAGAGAAGGCTAAAGACTAAAAATGACAACAGCTGTGATACCACAGAACTTAGCTATAGCAGTTAAAGCTGTGTTGGGCTGCATTAATTTGACAGTGTCCATGCCAGCAAAATATCTTTACTCTATCACCTTTCACATTTCCTTCTCCTCTGCTTGTGTCTAATCCAAGCAGTTTGATGCCATTTTCCCTACCATATCTCCATCCTACAGAATCATGTGGTTTCATGAGATATTTAGGGCCCTTCCGCACAACCCTATATTGGGATATCAAGGCAGAAAATCCCATAATATCAGCTTTGAACTGGGTTATCTGAGTCCACACTCAGATAATGTGGGGTTTTCTGCCTTGATATTCTGGGATATAGGGCTGTGTGGAAGGACCCTACATCTCCTATGCTTTCACAGCACTGAGCCATGGCAGTTAATAGTGGGGCCAAACTGCATTCAGTCTACAGTGTAGACTTCCCTGCCCAAAAACTCAAAGGCTAATTTGAGGGACAGAAGTGGAGAAGCTCAGCAATCTACAGGATTCCACAAGAGAGAGCCATGACAGTTAAAGTAGAGTCAAGTTTCATTCAATCTCAACAGTGTAAATGCATCCTTGGACTTCCTGACTGAAGAGCTCAGGGCTTTTCCACACAGTCCCATATCCCAGAATACCGAGGCAGAAAATCCCACAATATCTGCGTTGCACTGGGTTATCCAAGTCCACACTGCCATACATTCCAGTTCAAAGCAGATAATGTGGGATTTTATTCAGTGGTGTGCAAGGGGCCGCAGAGTTGAATTCAAAGGTATTGTCAAAAGTTTTCATGGCCAGAATCACTGGGTTGTTGTAGGTTTTTTTGGGCCTGTCTGGCCATGTTCTAGAAGCATTCTCTCCTGACGTTTGGCCGGCATCTGTGGCAAGCATCCTCACAACCTCTGAGGATGCTTGCCACAGATGCAGGCGAAATGTCAGGAGAATGCTTCTAGAATATGGCCAGACAGTCCAAAAAACCTACAACATCCCAGTGAATTCAAAGGCTTCAATATCCTATAACTACTTCATCACACTAGAGAACAAATCCACTTTAAATCTGGTTTCTGCCTCCTGCAGAATTCTGGGGTTTGTAGTTTAGTAAGCCTGTTAAAGGCTCCTCTCTAAACTACAAATCGCAGAAATCTGTAGGAGGCAGCAACAGGATTTAAAGTGTATTCATTCTCTTGTGTTATGAGGTTATAAGATTGCATATAAGATTCCTTCTCGGGCTCCTCTCTCATAAATGCACTTTTATTCCTATCTCACGCAGGGTTTTAACCTTTTAACATTTTATCTCATACATCTGGCCCGCCCGTTGTGTTTGATTTTAATATGCCATTTTATACTGTTTATTTTGTTGTTTTATATATTTTGTTATGATGTATTTCCCTGCTATTTTGTGACTAACTATGTTGTATTATTTTAGGTTTGGCCTCATGTTAGCCGCCCCAAGTCCCGTTTGGAGAAATGGTGGTGGGTTATAAATAAAGATGATGATGATGATTATTATTATTATTTGGAGCCCCCAGTGGCGCAGTGGGTTAAACCCCTGTGCCGGCAGGACTGAAGACCGATAGGTCACAGGTTCGAATCCGGGGAGAGGCGGATGAGCTCCCTCTATCAGCTTCAGCTCCTCATGCAGGGACATGAGAGAAGCCTCCCACAAGGATGATAAAAACATCAAATCATCTGGGCGTCCCCTGGGCAACGTCCTTGCAGACGGCCAATTCTCTCATACCAGAAGCAACTTGCAGTTTCTCAAGTTGCTCCTGACATGATAAAATTAGCAGACGGTCAATTCTCTCATACGAGAAGCAACTTGCAGTTTCTCAAGTCGCTCTTGACACAATAAAATTATTATTATCCACAAGAATGATAAAACATCAAATCATCCGGGCGTTCCCTGGGCAACGTCCTTGCAGATGGCCAATTCTCTTATACCAGAAGCAATTTGTAGTTTCTCAAGTTGCTCCTGACATGATAAAATTATTATTATTATTATTATTATTATCCACAAGAATGATAAAACATCAAATCATCCGGGTGTCCCCTGGGCAACGTCCTTGCAGACGGCCAATTCTCTTATACCAGAAGCAACTTGCAGTTTCTCAAGTTGCTACTGACACGATAAAATTATTATTATTATTATTATTATTATTATTATTATTATTATTATTATTATATTAAAAGGGGTTCATGGCAGTTTAAGCGGTGTTAAACTGCATCCATAAACTACAGATGCACTGTTAGACTTCCCTGTCCAAGAGCTGAAAGGCTAATTCAAAAAATGGCACTGGAGAACCTCAGTAACCTAGAGGGTTCCATAAGAGGGAGGTTAAAGCGGGATCGAACCGCTCTAGCGGGCATCCTTTGCAGATAAACCCCACTGACCCTTGAGCCTCCCCGACGGCTTTGGAAAGCTTTCGCTGCCCCTTCGCCAACCCTTTAAAAGCCAGGCTTTGTGAGTCACCTTGGGAGCCACACAAACCACAAATGCCCAAGTTCACCAAATGCTCCCTCTTCACCCTTGAGCTTCAAGAGGTGCTCAATGGGCAGACAAGGCAAAGAGAGCGGGGGCGGGGGGGGGGGTCCCTTCTTCGAAGGCCCTTTGAAAGGCACGCGGCTTGACTCCTCTTTTGTGCAGCCAAGCCTTTCTTCCCTTTCCTTTTCCTCCTCCTCCTTCCTTCTTCTATTTTCTCTCCAAAAGGCCCCTTCTTACCTCTCTCGGGGAAAGGGCTTCTCTCTAAGGAAGAAACGGGGGAAACAGGCGAAGGAGCGACGCTTCCAGCAGCAGACAATGAAGAAGTGAAGGGCAGCAACATTGACACACGCACTCACGCACGGAGCCACTTATCAACCTCCTCCTCCTCCAGGACGAACCATTCTGTCCAACTTCGGGGGGAGGACAAAAGAATACAACCTTGGGTCTCTTTCGCTTTGGGGACACCTTTTCCTTGCTGTACGGAATGAGGAACAACTGCTGGGGGTCTGGGTTTCAAAAGAGGGAGGGGACCCGTGTTTTAGGCTCGTCGTCTCCCTCTTTTTTGGGCGCGAGAGTGGTTCTGCCCGCGCGAGGTTGAGAGGTTTTTTGAGGCGGAGAGGAAACAGCGGCGGGAGGGGAGATGTCCGTCTCGGGTGGCCGCGCCGGAGCTGGGCTTTGAAGGCCTGAATCCAGCCAAGGAAAAGAGGGAAGAAAGGCTCCATCTTGGGATTACTATCAGGAGAAGGGCAGCCATGGCTCCCCCGAAGAAAGGCGACTTGAGCCAGGAGGAGAAAGAGCTGCTGGAAGTCATTGGGAAAGGTAAGGCGTGCGCAACGTGCCTCTGGCTGTGTCGGAGGGAGTTCAAGGGACAGCCAAGCCTTGAGGGAGCTTCGCAATAAACAAGGCGGGCTTGGAAACGTCCAGAAGAAGAAACCAGGTCTTCCTTGGCGAGCCATTAGGGGATAGGCTGGATTCCTTGGCTGGATTCTTTTGCACCCAGGAAGAAAAACAGGCAGTCGCTGTTCCTGCAGGAAAAGGAGACCCAGTGATTCTCAAACTCTGACCCTCTAGCTATGTGGAACTTCGACTCCCAGAAGCCTCAGCTGTCATGGCCAAAGGCAAAGGATTCTGGGAGTTGAAGTCCAAAACACCTGGAAGGGGACCAGAGATTGAGAAACACCAGCTCAGTGGTTAATAGAATAATAATTATTTATTTATTTATTTACTTCATTTATATACCGCTTTTCTCAGCCCTTAGGCGACTCAAAGCGGTTAGCAGCAGCAATTTCAATGCACACATTACAAAACCATTGGAGCATTTAAAAACAATAGCATATCAACACTTGATTATTATTAGGTTCTTGTGGGTTTTTTCGGGCTATAGAGCCATGTTCTAGAGGCATTCTCTCCTGACGTTTCGCCTGCATCTATGGCAAGCATCCTCAGAGGTAGTGAGGTCTGTTGGAATTAGGACAATGGATTTATATATCTGTGGAATGGCTGGGGTGGGGCAAGGAGCTCTTCCCTGCTGCAGATTTTGTTGTCTGGCTACCAGAATCTGGCTACCAGTATTAAAAAACTCTAAAATTACAACAGCAAAACAACAGAGAGGAAACAACCAGGCACAGATTAACACCTCCCAGCAAGAGATTTTCCCAGGCTCAGGCAGGCCTTCAAATGCTAATGAAGGTGATCAGCTGAAACATTCACACCTAACTGCAGCAGGGAAGAGCTCCTTGCCCCACCCCAGCCATTCCACAGATATATAAACCCATTGTCCTAATTCCAACAGACCTCACTACCTCTGAGGATGCTTGCCATAGATGCAGGCGAAACGTCAGGAGAGAATGCCTCTAGAACATGGCTCTATAGCCCGAAAAAACCCACAAGAACCTAGTGATTCCAGCCATGAAAGCCTTCGACAATACAATTATTATTATTATTATTATTAAACTTTATTTGTACCTCGCTAGCATCTCCCGAAGGACTCGATGCCACTTACAAAGGCCAAGGCCTCAACACAATAACAACAGACAATAACAATGCAGCAAATTAAAAAGAAGGCGTTCGAACAAGAAGTGCAATGATTGGTAATGACTATAGGAATGGAATAACGGAAAATGATATTGGATTGTGGTTTGGACGATGAGACAACGTTGAATGGTTTCCGTAGGAATGACAATGTTTTGTATAATGCTTTTTGTATAATGTTTTTTGCATAATGGTTTGAGAATTGTTTTTATACTGTGTTTTGTAGTTGCTCTTCCCATGTTGTACACCGCTGTGAGTCGCCCCTGGGCGGAGAACAGCGGTATAGAAGTAAAGTAAATAAATAAATAAATAACACAACAAAACATTACACTATTACACAATTAAAGATCAATATGACAAATCATGCACGTCTCATCAATAGAATCAGAATCCAATCGCAGCATCCGTTATTCTGTGTTCCTATAATCAATTACACTGCCTAATCGAATGCCTGTTCAAACAACCAGGTCTATACTTTCCTTCGAAATGCCAATAAGGAGGGGGCTGATCTGATATCTGTAGGAAGGGCGTTCTACAGCCGAGGGGCCACCACTGAGAAGGCCCTGTCTCTCGTCCCCACCAGGCGTGCTTGTGATGCGGGCGGGACCGAGAGCAGGGCCTCCCCAGATGATCTTAATGTCCTAGCTGGTTCATAGGAGGAGATGCATTCAGACAGGTAATAATAATAATGTAAAATTCTGGCACAAGCCAGTCAAGGTGGTCCCAGTGGTGATTGGCACACAAGGCCTAAAGACCTTGGCCTGCACTTAAACACAATCAGTGCTGACAAGATTACCAGCTGCAGAAGGCCACCTTAATGGGATCTGCACTCATTATTTGCCGATACATCACACAGCCCTAGACACTTGGGAAGTGTCCAACATGTGATTCAATACAACAGCCAGCAGAGTGATCTTGTCTGCTGTGGACTCATCTTGTTGTGTTTCTAATAATAATAATAATAATAATAATAATAATCGTGTTAAAAAACAAAGTATGGATTGTCGTTGTTGCAATACCAGGTGACAGCAGGATTGAAGTGAAACAACTGGAAAAGCTGACACAATCTGAGGATTTAAAGACTGAACTGCAAAGACTCTGGCACAAGCCAGTCACGGTGGTCCCAGTGGTGGTCAGCACACTGGGTGCAGTGCCTAAAGATCTTGGTCTGCACTTAAACACAATCGCGCTGACAAAATTACCATCCGCCAGCTGCAGAAGACCACCTTGCTGGGATCTGCACGCATTATTCATCAATGCATCACACAGTCCTAGACACTTGGGAAGTGTCCGACATGTGATCAAATACAACAGCCAGCAGAGTGTCTGCTGTGGACTCATCTTGTTGTGTTTCAAATAATAATAATAATAAGTTCGGATATGTAAGTTCTGGCCCAACTTACCTATCCGAACGTATCTCGGCCTATCAGCCCACCAGGACCCTAAGATCTTCTGGGGGGGCCCTACTCTCTATCCCGCCTGCTTCACAGGTGCGGCTGGCGGGGACGAGAGACAGGGCCTTTTCTGTGGTGGCCCCGCAGCTGTGGAACGCCCTTCCCATGGAGGTAAGATCAGCTCCCTCATTGATGGTATTCAGGAAAAGACTAAAAACGTGGATGTTCGAGCAGGCGTTCGGTTAACTCAGTGCAATAAGTGTAATGATTGAAGGACTGGCAATCTGGACGACGAAACTGGATCACGATTTTAGTCAAGAGATGAATTGGATTGTTTATTGATATTTGTATTGTGGATTATGTTTTTATGCTTTTAAACTGTATACTGTTGTTTGTTATAAGTTGTTGTAAACCGCGTTGAGTCGCCGGCTAGGCTGAGAAACGGCGGTATGCAAGTATAGCAAATAAATAAATAATAAATAAATAAATAAATAAATAAATAATAACTACTACTACTACTACTACTACTTTATTTTTATGCCACACCTCCATCTCCTCGAAGGGACTCAAGGCAGCTCCGGCCCTGTTTACCTCTCCGAACATATTCTCCCCTATGAACCATCAAGATTATTAAGATCATCTGGAGAGTCCCTGCTCTCGGTCACACCGGCCTCGCAAGCGCGTCTGGTGGGGACGAGGGACAGGGCCTTCTCGGTGGTGGCCCCGCGACACTGGAACTCTCTCCCACTGGAGATCAGAACCGCCCCTTCTATCCTGACATTCAGGAAACAGGTGAAGACGTGGTTATGGAGACAGGCATTCGATGAGTGAGCCAACACTCTGAGATATGGATGGAAGATGATGTACAATCAATTTTAGTATGATGACTGACCATTGTAGTTATTGAATATATTTGCTGTTTTAATGTGTTATTGTAATATGAATTATGTTGCTTTACTGACTGTATGTGATTTTATGGTTGGAAACCGGTCTGAGTCTTTCAAAAGAGGTGAGAAGGTCGGTATACAAAACTTTTAAATAAATAAATAAATAATATGGGGCCAAGCCCAATCAACAAGACTTAAAACATAATATATATCTATATCTTCTATACTTTGAGACTGCTCAGCTCAATGCAAAGAAATGGCTCAGTTCAAAGGAATCCCGTGAATTATCATTTTACAATGTCTTGAGCTTTCTCTGCTCAAGAGTGCTGGTCCTTTACCAAACTACAACCCTCAGGATTCCATAGCACTGAGCCATGGCAAGTGAAGTGGTGTTGAGCTGCATTTGTTTTACAGCAGGCATCTTCAAACTCCAGCCATCCTACAATTTGGGTTTCCATCTTCCAGAAGCCCAGTCAACTTGTTCAATGGTCATGAATTCTGAGAGTTGAAGGCCCAAACAGCTGGACGACTGGAGTTTGAGGATAGCTGTTTGATAGTGCCTTGCCAAGCCTGTTTTTGTGACCTTTGATTCCTCCAAGCATCTTTCTGTTTTCCAACCAATGAAAGTGAGTTGTGCCAAATAGCAATTCACCTTTTAAATCAATAGCAATGCTTCCCTGTACTATTCCACACCATAAATACTTACTCTTGTGTCTGTATCTCTTTTTCTGTCTTCGGCAGCAATTTATGCAGCCCCTGGATTGGCTGCAACTGTCCAACCCAATCCCTGGGCAGTTTTTCATTCCTCTTTTAGGGAAAGGTTCAGTGCAAGTCACACAAGTTGAGCTGGATTGCCAATGTGAAAACCCAATGTTTTGTTTACTGTCATATTGCACAGGCCTTGTCAGTAGCAGAACCTAAACAGCGTTCCTCCTTTGCAGCCTTGTTGCGGTTCACGGTTTTATCTTTTTAAAAGCATATTGGAAACAAAGAGGCATTGCAGTCTCGTTTTGAATTCAGAATTTGCCTTCC